TTTCTTTTTCCTTCCCTCAAAACGGACCCAATCCACAACTTGCATGGTGCATATTATGAGTTCGTCAGCGATTAGTGTAGTCTGTTTCGGTTTATCGAACCATACGCTGATTCAATTTTACCGCTGAATTCCATAGGTTTAGACGTTCTGCCTCCGATTCCACCATTTTCTATCCACTGACCAATTAAATCACATATAAATCAAGGAAATAACACCGGAAAACAGTCAAATCGGGGTATTAGTATGTGTGAAATGAGAGTTGCATGTTACAACACTGATAATATAATTGGTGATAATTCCCTGCGGAGTGTGAATATTCGACTGACATGTAAGGTGAGGGCACTTCTGTCGCATAGCCACCGGAGCGTAAGGGATTCGAATGTATCATATAAACAAATAAAATTCTTCATTTTTCTGATACAACAAATAATCAGGTTGTGAAAGTTTCCAACCGAGTCATAACCCTGGAGGTTAGCGCTAAGATGAGCAGTGTCTGTGACCCGCAATAAGCTCACAAAGATCGGTTGTGCTATATCGTGTAGATGGAAAATGAAAAGCGGTCTGATCAACTACCCGATGGCCGAGGGGGTAGCATGCTTGCGTTCTACCTGTGAGGTCCCGGGTTCGATGCCAACTTGGGTCGATGGTTTCGCACTGCTAATGAGACCCAACTAGGTCAAAACAGCTGTCCAGGGCTTCCCAGCTTTTCATCTCACCACGAATTCATCATCGAAACAAATCATATCCTCCATTACTCTCATGATTCGACAAACTGTTGATGTGCACATGGCGGAGGATTGTTTGTTCTAATCTCTATCGCAATCGGGTTTTATCAGCCTTAGAGCGGATCCTTGTCATGAAATAGATCGGATGGGATGATTCCCGCACATCCACGGTGTTACAACCGCACTTGCCCTTATTGGTCCTCGATTGAGCCAAACTAGGTGATATTCTCTCATTCGATCGGCCCAGGCTCTGGTGATACTACCCACGTACTTGCGCCACAGGAGCAAGCAAACTGTTTGACACAAAAAGAGGTCGTCTCCATCGGTAGCCTGTCCGTCTGTAATGGACAACTCAGTTGGAAGACTAAAATATGCCTAATGCGGTCGAGACGTGAGTATTTTCTATTCCACCCCCAGGTCGTTTGTGTATTGTCCTCGCAAGAGAATTACTTTTAAAAGGCAATGAAATGTAAACCTTTTTCGCTTCCATGCAATGATCGGTAAGTTCCTCTGGGTATCCACTTTTTATGAACCTTGACTTAACTGTTGCCAATCTGTCACCCACTGTCAGTAGATCTTCCCACACGATTGGTGATACACTGGAATGAGCTTTGTTTACGCTGCATCGGGACAAAGCTATGATAGTTAATATGTTGTCCTGTCCGCGTATTCTTTATGCGTATATTTCTTCTGAGACAGCCATCTTCGCGGTGTGACAAGTAAATATCACGAAACGGCATTCCTTGAACAGATTCTCTCTCCCGTGTGAAAGCTATACTATGATGAGCCCGATTAAAACTGCCAAATAAGTTAGAGGATTGTGTGAAATGTCAATGAAAAAGTAATAATTTCATCAACATAACGCCTGCATAGGACACATTGATAGATAAAATATCTCATTTTCTAGCTTTTTCATGAATATATCCCCCAATAGGGGACCTAATGGTGAACCCATAGCAATTCCATCTGTTTGACGACATAAGCAATCATTTAACTGAATGAAGTTGAACATTGAAAGTGTATTTTAGAACGAGTTTCCTTAAGTCATCCGATGGAATTCCGATGTTCATATACTTTCTTGCAATGTGTTCGCACAAAAAGTCAATTGTTTTCTTCACGGGAAAATCCGTAAATAGCGGAGTAACATCCAACGAGAATACACGTCTGTTGGTTGCGTCTATCAATTCAAATGAATCTTTCAAAGAGCATTTTGCCCATTCTTTCCCTACTAGCTCAATTAGTCTGGCTAACCTTTTTGCCACCGCGCGATAAGGCAACTCACACATATCCAAGATCGGTCTTAGAGGACAACCTTGTATGTGCACCTTCGGTAATCAGTACAATCTAGGAATTCTCGTTCCCATCGTGTTTTACGAGCTGTCGCCTCCAACCCTATTCCAATTTGTCACTCTGGTCTTTGTTCAGCGGAATGTTATCTCACTGAAACTCCTGTTACTCGGTTACACTTAACCAAGTATAATTCACCTGTCGAGCGGTCTCCCGGACTGTGACTGCCGTCCACTGAGTATCAGTCTCTCAGTGTCACAGATGAGAGCTGATTGTTAGTTGCAAATCACAAGCTGATGGCGAGACGACGGTTCCTCCAGTTCGAGGGATGACTTCTATCCGTCAATCCATTTCACCAAAGTAGCCGCCCCGTTTCTTCTTTGTACTAGTATTGTGTTTAGCACTGCATTTGATTTCTGTGCAGTGTTTCCTGTAATTCGGCTCAACAGGCTGGTAGCCTTTGTTGTTTGTAGTGAGAGCATGTGTTATTCGAACACCTCTCTTCATAGTTCTTGAATCCTTCTTCCAGGAGTAAAGACATGAATTCTCACTTCAACGGCGGTAACAAAATCACTTCTCCCCAGCAGTTTTTGGCTTCGCGTTGTCAAGACGTTTACCAACACTGTGGCGTGTTTGTAGAACTGGTCAAAGCCTGTCTTCGATTGACAAGCGTGATCACCTAGAACGGCTGGACTGAAAATTGACATAAATCTGTGTACAGGAGAACATTTTTCAAATAAAATACTCAACTACAGGCAAAACATATCCGTCTACCACTCCCGATCATTAAAGATGTTATTAAATTACAGTTGTGATTCAGAAAGAACTATCCAATTGTTTGATCCGAACATTGGTCTATGTGTTCAAGTTGATTCACCACCAACATCCAGGTGTGTGTGAAAAGTGACGCTATTCTCCATGCTTTTCCGTTTGGTTGTAGCTCACGGAGTTTCGTTGTCCCCACATGCATTACTAACAGCTTCGCAGGCTACTGCCTCTATCCACTTTCACGATGTGGTCTCGCATCCGACAGTTCACCGGTCGTTTGTATCCCTATGTGTCCAGGCAAGTTTACCGCTGTCAATCTCTGTTTTGTTGATCCCTTTTTTCACAAAGTTTGTTTCCGCATTTCATAGTGATGCTCTCTGTGGTGGTGATGTTAATGATGATGATGAAAAATAACCAACTTTCTTTCGTGATGAGCTTTTCTCGTTGCATATGAATGAGGTCTATCCAGCTTCCAGTGCACTACACTATACGGAGAATCGTCGATAATTGAGAGTATCGAAGAGCTTTAGTCACTCCAAATGCCTCACATGGGTCGAGTTACTCTGTCGCTCACTCACATGTTTCCTGTGGCGTCCTATGAAGAATACATCTTGTGTGCTTTTTTCAAGTTCACCATTGTTTTTCATTGATGAATTCCATCTTTCTTTGAGTCATGTTTAAAAGAATGCATGGTCTCAATGCGATTTCAGTCTCTATGTTCTTCTGTAATGTTGCATGTGACACAGTTCTTTATGGTTGTATGGTTGCTACTCAGGTGAAAGACTATGGGCAATTAATCATTCGGCAAAATGTTTAAAACTGCTGTGGGTGTGACTTATAGTCGACTGCACTTAATCCTCATCTGCATCCCAATGAGTTGCTTCAAAACAAGCAACGCCCAAAGAATCCTTACGATGGGCTTACAATAATTTTTCGCATCTTGGATGCTTTTAACCGCAGGCATGAAGTCCATGAATGATACTACGATAACTAATATCTGAATGACTAAATAATTTTGTTCAATCGTCTCTATACTACTTACCACATGCTCGACGGTAAAACACGATTTTGGGACGGAACGTTTGACGTATGAGAACACGATAGAAAACCAGTGTAGTCAAGATACCTGGATACCCTCGGATTAAACAGAGCTGAATGTTACCAGGCGCGTCCCCGGGTTGTGTATAGGAGGATGACTTCATCGAAGAAAGTTAGCTGTGAATAAGTTTTGGCATACAGCAATAAATAAGCAGTCGCGAACAAACAGCGACGGCGCTACCAGGGTGGTGGGTTTTAGGCTGGTCACCTGGCTCCTGTTTAAAAGCCACATAGGCCCAATGACGGCGTCGTGGCAAAGGTCGATGTGACTGGCCTTATAAAAGTAAAGCTATTGGCCCCCTCACTTCCTAGGCGATGGCTTACTTCCTGCTGTCTTGCAATTCGCAATTGGTTGTGCAAAGGCTAGAGGTTCGCCCTGAAAATACAAAACGCCGAGTGACGCTGGGGACGTCTCTCGTACCAAATTCCCGAGTAACCTCATGATCATGTCTGGAGCCGGCTTATCCTTCCCAAGGAGGCAGCCGCAGCAAAGTAAAAGTAGTACTCAAGGTACGATCCGCTAAGTGTGATCTAGCTGGGATTTTGTTCAGCCAGTTGAACATCTAGCTGATCGGTTGAACGATCTTCTAATGGAGATTTTATCAGTGTTTTTCGGTCAGATAGTTTTCCCTGGGGTGAAACTGCACCGTCTGAGGTGATCAGGATACTGAAACGCTGCTTCTTTCCTTGTCTGCAATCTCAAGAGTAAAACCATTGAAATTGCTTATATTTCATAAAAAAATATCCTTCCTTGCCCTCCTCATTCACCCGATTCCGATGGTTTCTGTGCTGTTTTTATTCTGTTTCTGTAATATTCTTTTAACCCATGGTTGCTTTGTCGCCGTATCTGTAGAGGCTCGTGTAAAAATAGTAATCTAATAATTGATTTTCCCACATGCATTTACCTTTTCCAATACGCCCGCTGTTATTGTTTCCGGACCGATAAGCAGATGTTACAACGGAGAAAGCTGAACATAACACTCTGTAAACTGTCACAGATGCCTTGTTGTTTGCTTCAAGTTGTGGTGATGTGGTTCTGACCGCTTGCTTCCATAGTTCTCCGCGTCTCTCTCCCTCTCCTGTATTTTCCATGCCAGCGGTCGATCCCTGAGTTTGGGTCTCGCATTCACTTGGCCATTTCGTACTCAAACTCCCGAAGAGCCTGAAGATACACAGACTATCACCAGACAACTGTTCACTCGTTCCCTATGGTACATTGTGCACGGTGAGTTTGCTCAGGCGGATCGCGAATTGCACCAGTTGCTCACACATTTGGCCGAAGCGCACCGACTCAACCAGATTGACACCTCCACCTACGGAGAGCAGCGTGGTCGAGTCTGTTCTGAATTGGCCAGTGTTAGTCTGATATTGCGCAATTATCCGGCCGCCGAAGCTCTGATCAAACAGACCGTACAGGATTGTGTACGTGCCGGACTGGATGTGTCGGATGCGGCGATTGTGGAATTGTCATTGAAATTAGCCCTAATCTACGATCGAATGGGTCGTCCGGAAGAGAGCGCAATGGGATTTCGTTATTGTATCGGAACTCAGGAACGGAAACTTGCCTCCGGCTCCGTTATAGATCCGGACCAGTTGAATAACGAGAAAGCCTTATTGGGCATGTCATACAACTATTACGCACAGTACGTTTTATTGGCTTGATTTTTGTGATCCACGTTGGCTAAGAAATATTCTCTAGCCTATGGTTGATTTAGGAGTTGTTCATTGTTGATTGGTTTGAGCCGACTATCCTTCGGACTTCACTTTCACGCACTATCCTCAGTTCATCGATTCAACCATACACTCGGAAGCACTAGACTCGAGTTTTGCTCTTATTGGAGCTCATCAGTAGTGCATATCCACCGTCCCGTCCGGGATTTGAACTCCGTACCCATCGCATAGAGGACATGTGTTACCACTATGCCAACCAGCTCATGCCATGGCTGAACCAAATTGCCAATTCATGTTTGTTCAGGTGTTGTCTTCAGTGATAGTCAGTCAGTTCATTTGGCCTAACTTGGTGAGAGGCTTTCGACTGGAGTTAACAGATTGTCTTCTGTCTCCCTTCTTTGCCGTCGGCCCCGGATATTATCTTTTCATCCTCTCACTTTGGTGGCAAAACCACTGCGCGACGAGAATGCAGTGAGTAGGGCTTCCTCAGCGCAGCGCGTTTGAGAGGCTTGGTCGTGTAGGAGCACTTCGTGAGGTGCAAAGGACCAACCATAGTGTGGCTTTTGGAAGCGATATCTAGTTTACCCGCAGTGTTACTTTTATCTTGGTACCATACTGTTCTTTTAATTCCTTCAAAAGTCTTCTTCGTTGGTAGACCTCTTCATACTTCAATCAAACAACCCAGTCCCTTTAACACTTTAGTTACACAAATAACCGGGTAATTTGCGTCTAGCAGTGAATCATGACAGTCTAGAACGACCAACCACTTAGCATCAACTAACGTTACCGGTTGCTTTGTTGACCAGTCTGCAGGTGAGATGATGTGCGCTAACCGTAGCATTCTATTATGTAGTGGATTGTGCTGATTTCATTCTCCGTCCCCCTCTCCCTAAGGGAGCCAGTGACCTGTTCTTTAACTGTCACCCCTTGTTTCACATAGATTAACTTTCCACAAAAATCCAATCGCTGTTTACGTTTTAGTCCGCGCATAGGCGAATTGGAGGAAGATTGTGCGGTTGTGTATCAGATCTAGGTGCTACTGCCCCGGGACCGTTTAAGGCCCCACTGAGTGAGGTGTGGTTTTGAGCCGAACGACATCAAGCTACCATCGTTGGGTGTCGGTGTCGGGGCTCGAACCATAGAGTCCAAGTAACTAAACCACTGCGCACCACCACCACCGAAGTTAGTAATCCACGGAGGTATGATTGTAAGAAGCATCATTAGTTTCCATTATTGTGAGATAGACTGATCTATCAACATTATAACGTCTAACACATTTTCCAAATAGATTTGTGCATATTCTTGGCACATGCACATCAAACACAGCACTGCGATTTGGTGTTCATCACCTCAGTTCGGGTTTCCAAAAACGCCGATGTCCTATCGGACCACAATTTGCCATTATCTAGCTTAAGCACTCAACCTTCCAATATTGTGACTAATTGAAAGTATATAATGCATATCCAATGCAGCGAGGTATTTCCGACCCCCCCCCCTCCCACNCCCCCCCCCCTCCCACGTCTTACGCACGACATAGATTTCCAAATATGTTTGTCTGGGTTGTGTTGTTGTTGTTGTTATTTTTCTCATCCAGCGTCTTGTGTTCTACAAACCACTTCCAAACTAAACAGAATCACAGGTTGTGTACTGATACCATATTGATCGAGGAACCTTAACGGTGTTACCTGAAAACTGGATAATTGATCGATGGGTGTGTAGAAAATCATTGTTTTGTTATATATGTATCAGAATTTGGTTTATTGGAAACTCGTTAAAAGATGCACTAGAGAACAAAAGCAATTTTGGTACTATTCGAATGAAAGTGAAGTCAGTGGAGGAGAGAGCAGTATATTTAAATCCTTGAATATAGAATACCCTTCCCATGTGTTAGTGTATTTTTTATTGTTTAGTTCACACTCTTGTAACATATCGGCGCGTGATGCATAGTCTCAAGGATCTACGGTCCACTCATGACAACCGGTAGGGTTTATATAGGGCTTTAGCATAGCAACAAAGCAAAGCAAAATACATTAAAAACAGACAAAACATAAAAGAGGGAGGGGTAAAAGGACTAATATCACCGGGGTAGGGAGAGACTAACAAAGTTCTTTTTGCTGACACAGGGGGGGGGGGCTTCCATTGATTAATCGCAATCGCTTGTTAGTATCTCCCTACCCTGGTGATATTGGTCCTTTTACTCCTCCCTCTTGTATGTTTTGTCTGTTTTTAATGTACTTTACTTTACTTTGTTGCTATGCTAAAGCCCTATATAAACATTGTATTTTCCGCAGTATGCACCATGTTGAGATGCAGCGAAATCGTCCTGGACATAAATCGTGCAGTATTGCCATATGGTCTTTTCTTTTGCAATTAATCTTGGGAAAGGCTTGTTTCAACCGGTAGGGTTGTCTTGGTACTGAGCCGGACAACAACGAAGCTGCTTCTCAACAAAATTAGGTGGCATTAATGGGGTTTTGAACCTTGAACCCAGGACTCAAGTTAAGTCTGTGATAGCGATTTGAACCATCCAGAAAAGGAATGGGTCCGAAATATATATAAATATCATTATGATTATATTTCACACACCTCTCAGTTCAGACTGTGTTTGGTGCTATTCATAACAAAGAAAAGTTCGTTTTTCTAGTGGATGCGATACCGACAGGTTGTACAGTGCAAAAAATCGTAGCACATGTTCCGATTTGAATGTACCGTTAGGTTTTGGCTTTTAATCTGCTAATCGAGTGGGTTCGTTGTTTTCTGTCTTTCCAATAGACCTATAGAAATGTAGTTCACACACTGGATTCTAAAGTCACATCCTAAGCGAACAACGTAGATCAGGTGGGCATCTGTTCACTTTTTGAGGTTTTCAAATATTTAATGCCTGGTATATGCGGTCTTGACCCCGCACAAACACAGCACGCTGGGATGGATATGCTCGCTGATGCTCACCTTTTGACTTCGACGACCCCTATCCGTCTGGCTCTTGAGCGGGGATTTTGTCAGTGAGAAGGTTTTCGAACTATCCATATCTTAAAGTGACAGTAGTCGAGCGATGTAAACCGTCGTACCTTTATTGTCTCGAAGTTTGCGTTTTTGCAACCCCGCACCATTCTCAACTATCACTTTAGATTTCCCGTTGTTGATACGCAGCTTTCTATTGGCTGTACCTCTCTCCTCTTAACTAATGAAGTTAGATGATTTCAATTGTTATTATTAGTTCACAGGACTGTCATTTAGACGGTGCAGAACAAATTCGGTGAGCCTGTCGCGCCTGATACCGATCGGGTCGGTTCATCTTATTTCCCCACTCCCCGCCTCTTTGCCACTTGGTTACTTCAACTCAACCAACTCGCGCTGGCTATATGGATATCCTAAACATAGTTTTGTAGTATAATCAGAACACGTAGTTTCGTAAATATCCGTTGAGATTCTTGGGGGAGGATAGCATGTGAACAGTATCGCGAGCATCACTCAGGCTTCTTTTACTACTCAGTCACTCAGTCCACGTTTGGTTAATGTCATTTTGTGCAATGTTTTTGCTTGAAGCTTCAACTCTAGTCTTCAAACACTTAAATACATACTGTCATTATTGTTCGAGTCGGGCTGATGTCTCGTTCTTCAGTTCAATCATCTTTTCCGAAATACCATATCGGGTAAATGGGACACTACATGAACATTGATTTTATTTATCGGTGAGTCCCGCTAGTCGCGTCCTAGCGTGGTCGACCGACTTTTATAGTTTTCCTTCTGATGTAGAACTTTAGGTCACGTGAGAATGCACTGTTTAGTTAGCAATTCTTTGTTCACGGTTAGTCAACAAATGGTCAGCCGCGATCTAAGGATGCTCCTGGTAACACAAACTTCTTCTCGTGTCCTAAACCGGCCGATCATGAGCATATTTGACTATAGTGCCACGACGAACCACTTGTTCACCTCCGATAGATTTGAAACGTGATTGCAATTTACCTACCCCTTCCACCCCCCACCCCAGATTTCTCTACTCTCAAAATGAACTAACTCAAGCTTGTGAATATGCACAGAAAGCGCTGTCCATTGCCCAACAACTCTATCCGGACACACATTCAAATTGTGTCCACCTCGAATCGGATATTGCCACCATTTTGATCGAGCTGAGTCGGTTGGACGAGGCTCGTACTGTGCTTCGTCGTGTAGTCGATCGATTCGCCCAATCCGATCTGGTTGACGCGCCTCTGGAATCCGGTCCGCCCACGGATGAAATTCGGTGTCACTTTCTCACGCAGCTGCTCCAGGTCGAAGCGATGTCCGGAGACCTCGGCAAAGCGAAAAATATGTATGCAGATGCAGAAAAATCATGCGCCAAGTTATCCAATACTTCTAACTTGCACGAACGATTGCTTAAATTGAAGCGCATGTACAATTTGTGATTGTTCAATATGGGCCTTATATTCTCGTGAATCTCCATCTTACAACCCAAACAATCCGTTTAACTTGATTGGTATTTGTTTGTTTCATAGTTTGTGCTCATTGGGTAGTAATTAGCTTCCCGGTCGGGATCTTTGAAACCAACCGAATCGACAATCTAACAAACGAGATAAAATCACTGGGTTTGTCAGAGATAGTATTGATCGTGCAGTTGCTCATTTTATTTACTGATCTGTCACATACCATTACCTTGGTAACACTTACACAGCATTTTGTTCACTGTTCGCCCCTTCCTTTATCAGTTACCCCAATATTGTCTGAATACATAATAGCCTTGTTACACATTGTAAAAATACACAGTGGCGCGTAAGCTCATTTTCGGTGAATCGTCTACTGGCTACAATTTATAGCATAAAAGGAAAAGATTCTTTACGGAAGGGGAAAAAGAAAACTGATGGCATTGGTTCAAGTCGGCGCTGGTAGGGGCATTGCTGCGTGGCGTATGCCGATGATCTAACGAATTGTTTTGAGAAACAAATGAGGGGGATATGTAGGTGGGTTCCGGTTGCTTCCACTGTGGCCAAGATGCGACATCTAATCTCATTACTTCGATCACTGTAAACTTAATAGATGGAGTGAAATGCCTCGGACACGCTAACTGCGTGAGTGGACTCCACTGGGTTTGAAACGATCAAAACGCAGCTGTGGTGTTAGGACAGAGCGCACAGAATCCGACCTGCCACGCAGCGACCCGCGTCACACCACAAGTGCGCTCGTGACGCCTAAACCGAATCGACTCCTGATTGGATGATTAAGGCGAATCAAATAGCTATCGTCCGATCGATCAATCTGAGTGTCAAGGTCACGATCTGATTGGCGCGTCACCACGTCTGTTTGCGTACGCCCAATTTACCACATATTTGCTTGTTGTTTCATGATCAAGAATGCACGCTGACTGTCGTTTCTCAGCAGTGTTCTTTCTCCAGTTGTTGGGCCCTAGACAAATAGGCGCGCGTATCGATCTTGGCATAAGACATAACAAACGGCGACGGGAAAATCGGAAATTTCAATGAATTTTTCGGCAGATCAATTCCAACTCCTGTTAATGCAGCAACAGAAGCAGATGGAGGCTCAACTGAAACTGATTGAATCACTGACGCAGCGGCTCAACCTGCAAACACCAGAATCAGTTTCACGTGAAATCCCCTCTAACGCTGCCGAAATGCTTGCAAATTCAATCACTGAATTCAGCTATGATCCTGAAACTGGTCACACTTCGAGGCGTGGTTCAAACGCTGGGAGGACGTGTTCCGAACAGATTTCAGTTGTCAAAACGATGCATGGAAAGTGCGCCTACTGGTCCGAAAACTTGGAACTACTGAACGCTCCAGATTTGTTGACCACATTCTTCCAAAACAACCAAGGGATTTGAAATTTGACGAAGCGGTGGCACAATTATCAGAAATCTTTGATGAGTCAGCTTCACTGTTCAGTATCCGATACGAGTGCCTGAAGATTAATAAACGGGATGGAGAGAATTATGGCATGCTTGCTGACAGAGTCAATCGTGGCTGTGAACGCTTCAAACTTCGTTCATTGACTGATGACCAATTCAAGTGCCTCATTTTCATCAGAGCACTGCAGAATCCAGAAGATGTCGACATTCATATCCGTTTACTGCCCAGATATGAACCTGACATCGACGAAGTGCGTAAAATCCCTCAACGGCCAGCCCATCAAGATTTTCAGGAATGACCGCGAGAAGTGGTTGATAGGGAATTGTAGTGAGATGGAGAAGGTTGCAGTTTTGGTAATGGTCGCAACCTTTTTTCTCTTACTTAAGAGTGCGGACCCAAGGAAAGTAGGCATAAATGAGATAATTAAGAAGTTTTAAGGATGGAGATTCAACGTGGATCCCGGAGTTAACTAAACTCCTGGAGCCAGTGTGGAAGAGGAACAGGTTCAAACTGAATGGCATGAATCGATGATCATACCAACTTACAAGAAAGGTGATAGATTCTCTTGTGAAAACCACGGAGGAATTAGTTTACTCAACGTTATCATTTAGCTTCCCGCTGGTATCGTACTCCGTCGGTTGTTTGCTGCAACGTTTGCCAAGACAGGTAGTGGGTGGAAAAAGATCATGGACAGTCAAACAAAGACCTGGCACGTCGGTATGCAACCCCTAACCGGAGACTGGGTCAAATAGGTCCCGTTAGGCTCCCTCGATGAGGACCTCCAGATCATGGTATTTGGAATTTAGAGACACTGAGTGATATGGTTGAGGGTCGCAAACTGGCGCTCGTGCATATACTCAATATTCTTGCAACCCGAGTCTATATGAATTTTCTATCTTTCGATTTGCTCTGAACATTCCTATCTTCATTCTGGTGTTTTATTTAAATGGGCGACCGAAAGACAGCAACCAATACCGGCGCATGTAAATGCATGGATAACGGTTGTGAAAAACTAGGAACCAAAACAGTCCTGATGGACTCCGGAATCCTCATCGACTGTTCCCCTATACGCAAACTGGTGCTCTCGTTACTAAGTCTTTTGGGTACTTCTAGGGCATCCAGTTAGTACGTAATACGCTTCAGTTTGACTTTCCATCGACAGAGTCAAATATGGTGCAAAAGTCAAAGAAGTAGGCGGGGTTTGTCGGTTAGCATGGGAGGCTAGATTCTAGGCCACCTAATTCCTCAGTGTGGTCGATCGTGGGTTTCTCGAGTTGCGAGTGGTTACCCTTCCTTTGCGCCTCGCAAAATGCTCCTATACAACCAAGAGTATTAAATAGCTTCAGATGAAATGTGGTGCAACCACTACTTGCCCTGTCCACATCTGAAGGAAAACCTTTTTGTAGTCTGTTCCTTCTGATTCGCATAATGTTAGGTTGGGTGAAGCGTTTAAATGTACAAAGTGGTGACGAAAAATGAACTGGAGTTTTCGAATTCCTCAAGATTTCTTTTCCGCGGAATGGAGATACATTTTTTCCACAGTACATTCAGGGAGTAATTTCAAGAATTGTTCGCCGATAAGATTCTTTTCTAAAGAACTAATTGGGTTGGATTTTTTGCTACGCACTGGTTTGTTCACTTCGATCGACTTAGACCTGGCAAAATTCACGTTGCACGAATCGATAACTGACCAGCCATTCAACCAACCAATGGAACCAGCTGTCATCTGCGAGCTGATGGAACTATACATGCGGACGTACTTCATATTTGAGGGTGAAATCTAAGAACAGCTGAAAGGAACGCCAATGGGATCATTAATCTGTGGATTCATAACCGAAGCCGTGATGCAGAAGCTAAAGAAGGAGATGCTACCAAAAATCATGCCAAAACTTTGGCTCGGATACGTTGATGAAACGTTCGTCTTGAAGAAGTTGGAACCGATCTCCTCAAGAAGAGAGAAGAAATATACCTCTTCAGAGTATTTGATCGCAATGGCTACACCATAACTTCAAAAGAACTCTGACTCATAGAAGAAAACAAACAACAGACGGAGAATCGAGAACAAGAATAATCCTGCCCTATTTCAAAGACGTTTCGGAGATTACAGCAAAACTACTCAGATCATATGGAATCCAATTCGCCCTCAAACCAACCGCCAGTCTAAGGAGACTTCTGTCAAAACCAAGGGAGAGAACTGCGAGAACTGTCCCAAAACACTATCGGACAAACTGGAAGAAAACTGTCAACAAGGATCAAAACACGCCAGAGAGTTTCTCGAGGCTTGACAGTTCAATCCACTCAATGAACGGACACATTGAATTGAATCAGGTGTGCACACCAATGCAACTGAAGTATCAGATGACGCAAACAAAGGTCACATCGTGACCTGAGAACGTAGCAAAACCGCAATCGACGGAAGAGCAGCCCATCTCTCACCCTCGCACCAGATTAACGGCGATCTGAGTCGAATATAGTGGGAACAAGGGATAAAAATAGTCAGTGGAGAAGAACACATATTAACTAACGGGTACAGGCAGAACACTACCAATTCACGAGCACTGAAGATGTGTCACCTCGGCTGGTGATGAGATTTTTGCAAACTAATTGCCAAACTCGGCGAACAGGCTAAATGGAATTCAGTTCACCCGAGCTACGACAAGCGATTTTCAATACTTCTTCAACACACATTTTTGTGATGATAAGTACACGAGGTGGACCTCAAAGTCGCTAATACCCATTGCTCAGTACTGAGAACCAGCAACTCTGACTCAGAATGAACTGTACGTTGTTACGAATTTTAGTTTGTTTTCTACTGAATACTAAATGAATGGCTGAAGAAAGTTCCTCGAGATGACATGACTTATTACACGATTCTTCTGTCCATCGGGGTTATTCTTCTGGTAATACTATTCTATCATCTATTTAATTTCAGAAAGCTTTTTTAGTGTCAAATTTGATCAACCACTCAGACAGAACTCTACTACTGGGAACCTGATCGACTTTTCGCTCATATCATCCTACCATATATGTGTGAACTCTCCAAACCTGAGGGTATTTATGGGATGAGATATGCTTACATTGAAGGTTCAATATTTAAGAACCGATTCCGGTGCACTTCCTCTTTGGAGTGGCAAACCACATACGGCTTCAAACTGGATGGGTACACAATGGAGAGGGATGGTAGTAAATCCGCCCACACTTAAATTTGGGTGGTGATTGCAGGGTTCGAACCCTGGGACTAGAGAATCAGACTACGTAATGACAGAAACTTGAATACCACCGCAAGCTTGGATAACAAACTTTTCATTTTCGAAGATACAACTATAAAGTCGCCATCACTTGACAACGTGAAATACATCGAAGTAGCTTTAATGCGGAAACGATCGAACTAAAAGATAATGGTCAAGTGACGGAACACGTAACGGACTGTGGTGCAATCGTGCTTAGTCTACCGATTTTTATCATACTTTCTAGACTACCAAACTAATTCGATCTCGTTCACAGGTCTTTCTTGAAAGATCTTGCCCATTTTCTGCGTTCAAATAATATGGTTATGTGTGACCTTCAAAACCTGAAGGTATGTTGACTACTGTCATTACACACTCAGACTTTCTTCTCAAAGTCGATCGGTATGCATAAAATACCGGTAAATACTTTTTGCTCACAAAATGCTTTGTTGGGTACATACTTCAAGGCTAGTACGGAATTTCAAGGAATATGAACGGAAACTCTA